CAGGTTGCGTGAAGGAAACAGAACTCAGTACAGCATTTCTGTGAAGGTTTCATTGTGGCGCATAATATCAAATAATCTAAAATGGGAGATTTGCTCATTTACATTTATCACGTGTTAGGGATGAGTGTTTGACGTCTTATGAAATATGGTAGCGTGAACATTTAAAAACCAAAAAGACGAGATCCTTGACTGCACGTTGAAGCACAGGTGCGTGTCCTCACGCGTCACAAACACAACAAGGTATTGTAAAACTGTACGCAACACAAAGCGGACGTTCTGTTTTGCGGCGGGGGGGGGGGGGGTTTGGCGCGGGTGGTCCGGGAGGGGACACACAGTCATTTTCAAGCGGGTGCTGCTGCGGGTGCTGGGTCTAACGCAGGCGTCCCGCCGCCAGCGACCTGGTCCCAGTAAGAGCAACTTTTTAGGAAGAGCAGCTACCTGCCTAGAAATGCAATTCATGTCTTTGTGTAATTCTTACATTAGCAAAGTCATCCAGCACCTGGACAGGTGAGTTTGACACCTGTGGTCTAAGACAGAATTAATGATAAAAATGCAAGTTTAAGGTCAAGTGAAGACCAGGACCCTTTGGCACTGACCGCCCTGATTCAAACCAGCAGTTCTAGTCCCCCTTAACTAGTCCTCATAATACCTGAACACCTTTAGAGGACACGGCTCATCCACCCGAGGAGGGCGACCATCAACTGTTTAATCAACAGACGCAATCTCAATGAATTCCAGCGTGTGTGTGTGCGTGTGTGTGTGTGTGTGTGTGTGTGTGTGTGTGTGTGCGTGTGTGTGAGCGTGTGTGTGCGTGTGTGTGTGTGTGTGTGTGAGCGTCCACATCCTTTCAGGCCGATTAAAAAAAGCATCATACTGTGTGTGACACACAAAATACCCAAACGGAAACTTGCCAGAAGCACACAGTATACAGAGGGCGAGCAAGCTACAGAAGACAGGGAGAGAGAGAGAGAGACGTGATACAAACCAGTAATTACCACCTCAAACCGGCCGGCGCTCCATCCGAGAGGCCTCCAGCTTTATTGAAACAACGCTAGAAACATGAGCAGCGTAATGCCTCTACAGTACAGGCTGCTACACACACACACACACACACACACACACACACACACACACACACACACACACACACACACACACACACACTCTTTGTTGGGTCATCGTACATTTTGATTTGGATGATAAACAAGTATAGGTGCATTTTTTATGGACACGCCATTGTTCTCGGCCATTTTGTATTGAACATGTGTGTGTGTGTGTGTGTGTGTCCAAAGTGCGTAATGTTTACAGAAGATTCCAACACGCCCTCTTGCTTTTTTTCATTATGTTTTTTCTTTTGTCTGACTTGCATATATTGCACATTCTGCCTGACATCGTGTATAATGTGTTCTATTAATAATTCTTTTTCCATCCAAAAATCAACCTTACGCTGTGTGTGTGTGTGTGTGTGTGTGTGTGTGTGTGTGTGTGTGTGTGTGTGCGCGTGTGTGTGTGTGTGCGTGTGTGTGTGTGTGTGTGTGTTAGGGCTGTCAACGAATATTCTATATATATTCAAATAGTCGTTAAAAACACAACAATGTGAAAATGAATATTCAAATTTAAAAAATAAAATAAAACAGACTAGAGGCAACAACAGCTTCATGCACTAGTTTGATTATTTGCCGTTTTATACCAATGAAAAGTCCCGTGTTTACAGCACAGCTCGGTCGGTACTGTAAAACTTCAATTACCGTTAATAATATTTGTCTCAGTGACTGAATGAAGCCTGACATATTTGGGACTCACACCTTAAATTGCTTGCACAAAACTCTTGATCAGCACTCGGCATTTGTTTTATGTTTGTCGCTCTCTTAAGCGCGACGGTGTGGGAGAGAGAGAGTTAATTTACTTATTTGTGTGTAGGTAATATGTTGTTAAATATGTTTAAACTTAAATAAATGACCTATACTGGTAGTTATGTCCCGTTGTATTAATTAGTCCACTTATTGACGCGTTTAATGCGCAACCAGATATTAATATGTGTGTTTTTTTAAAGCGAATATTCAAACGTCGTTGTTGAGCATTGAGAAGGAGACACGGACTCGTATCTAAGTAAGCGTGACATGTCACACACACACACACACACACACACACACACACACACACACACACACACACACACACACACACACACACAGAAGGATCTATAAAATAAAGGAATAAAAATGAGGTGGGAACAGACAAGAGAAAACACAGATGTAAAAGCTGAGGTGCAGCAGACAGCCGGCACACACTCAGCCCGTCCAACGGCTCCGTCAGATTAAAAGGGTGTCACCATATTTGAGCTTATCAAATGTGTGTGTGTGTGTGTGTGAGTTCCTCTCCACTCCAGCTCCACTCGGTTAAATGTCTGAATTAAACCCGGTTGACGGGGCTTTAAGGCGCCACAGCGCCGTGTCAGGTGGTGTTACACACTCTTTGCTGATGCAGGCGTGTGTGTCTGTGCCGTTTCAAACTGTCCGTACAGGTTTACCAACCCGACTGGCAGCGGCTTACGGGCCCCTCGCGTACCCACGTGGACCAGGGGAGCTGAACCGGTTCACGATGGGACTGGTGTCTGTGTGAAGTGCTGCAGACCACGCTGTGATATGAAGGACCGACTTCCACCGTCGAACAAAGAAACAACTATTTATCTGTCAAACAAACAATTCGTTGTTTGCACTCGTGTTTGAGCACGAACTCAAATGACAACGAATGGCAGATTTGTGCTTTTGGTCGATGTACGTGGAGCTGACCAGGTTGTTCTGACGGGCCGCAGTGCACAACACAACGCACAAACACGCCGTCTTACTGTTACACAACTGACATCTGACCACATCGACAAATCCATCGCCGAGCTCCTCAATGTGGTCGACGCCAAGCACACAAAGAACATCATAACTGGGTTTTTGTATTTAATCTCAATATTATTCTTTTTTTGGGGGGTTATGTAGAACACACACACACACACACACACACCAAAAAAAACGCTTATGCGCACAGACACTGGCATAGAAATGAGACACTGGCATTTTCCTTTCCGCGCCCCCCCAAAGCTGTAGACCTGGGGAGACACTGGAGGCTGTCTGCATGCCCGGATCCCCAGATGTCAGTGAGATCAAAGCGTGTGTGCGTGTGCGTGTGTGTGTGTGTGTGTGTGTGTGTGCGTCATGTTGCCTTCCCGTCTCTCCTGTAAACCTCGATGGTTTAGAAGTGGAGAGAAAGCTGTTGTCCCATAACAACGTCACACACAGGTTATAAAAGGAAGAATAACAATATTACAAAATAGGGACTTTTGTCAAATACGACGCCCTAAATGTCCCCGCCGGATGTCCCACTTCAGCAGTATTTCCCTGCACAATATTTAAAAGCGTACTTTCTCCTCCGCGAGGAACAAAGGGGAGGAAACGAAGACGAGCTGATGGGAGAAGGTTGCTAGTAGACGTTCCAACTCCTGGAACACTTTTACCCCCCAGCAATGGAAGGTGTGACGTCTACTGGAAGAAGATGAGCAGGGCGGAGCGTTAAACTCCAGCTCCATTACCGTCTGTCCTCACCTGGTAATAAGGTGCAAGTCGGCCATGTTTCATATGGAAATTGTGAAGTATCGTAACTATGGAACAGAAGACGTTATACTTTCCACTTGCTTCCAATTGGGCCGCTAATATGTTTCGTCTTTAACGTAAAGTTATTGTACTTTCTGTTGAGAGGAAATACTGTTCAGTTACAATATCAAACCCTTTATTGCTGCACGAGGGGAGTTGATTTCACCGGAGGACTAAAGATATATTTATATGTTAATAGTTTACTTATGCACATCAATTTGAATAATGCCGACCTGTTAACGGGGACAACGCCAATCAATCAATGCACACGCCTGAGTGCCGTTTGCACCTCCTACCGCCCACGTGGTTACGCAGTAAATGTGGAGCCAGAGCCCTGTTACAGTGGCGCGACTCAGAGGTCCAGGTGGCAGCGGCTGCAGCGCGGTGAAACATTGCTGGTTTCACAGCACAGGAGACGCTGGACAAGGACACAGAGTCAGCGTTGTATCTGTTCCCCTTCTTGAGTAGCGCGTTTTGTGCAAACGTTTAGCAGATTAAGGACAAAACTATTGGGACGGTGTCGCAAAGCGAGCAGAGCAGAAGTGGTTATTAAAAGAATTAAAGAATGGAAATTAAAAACAGGAGGACGTGTCATGCGAATGAGAATAAAAACACACGTGTGTTCATCACACAGAGTCTCCAAATTAAATTTGGACATTTGAAAGCTTGGTTTGATCTATTTACAATCTTCTAAAGTCCTCTAAATGATTTATCATCGACCTGTCGATTCCTCGTCAAATGAAAGATGTTCAATCACAATTGCACTATTCTTTCTTCATCACATGACTGCGGCGGGATTAAACAACCTGCAAAACACGCCGCCAATCGCATGGATGTGACGCTTCCTTCTATGTGAAGATATGAATCAACACTATCATCATGTCAGACAACCCAGACCAGGGTGACTGCTGGGGGCCCCTACAAGCCAGGGGCCTCCAGCAGGCCGCCGAGGCCTCTGGCTGTCCTGCAGCGTCTAGACTGGTTGGAGAGATAACTGCTGCCCCCCCCCCGTCCCCCCCGAGGGGTGAGGAACTGGCCTCTCCTAATCCTTCTTTCTGTGCTTTTTTCCTCTTGTGCTTATTTGAATTTTAATGAGCTTTTCACCTTTTTAAGCAGATGGATTAAGCTGGATTCTCCCACAAAAATCAGGGCGAGTCTCTCTGTCACGTTTTTCACAAATTGTTTCAACTAGCCGAGTCCTTGAGTTGGTTTAGGGCTTTGAAAGGATAATGTCCTCCTCTCTCCCCCCATGTCTCTGCTGCTGAGGAGGATGGGGTGAGTCTGTGTGTGCCGTGTGCGTGTGTGCAGTGACATATCAGTACCACACGTGGAAGTCTTCCAGGTGTTCATCTTTCTTACCTGTCGTGGTGTTCTCCTGCTTCGGGAAAATTCCTTTAATGGGCGTCCTCTCTCGCCTCCCCCCTCTTCCCACCTCCCCGTCCTCTTCCTCTGGAGTCACCTGGATGCCAATCTCCACCGGCTCCACCACCTTCCTCGGCTGCGCCTGCTGACGGCGGCTCTGCAGAGTCGGACTCCCTCTTCCTCCCCCTCCTCCTCCTCCTCCTCCTCCTCCTCCTCCTCCTCCCCGGTCGCTCATCTTGTCGTAGCAGCCATTGGCCAGCGTTTGGCACTGCTTCTTTTTGTGCTCGATGAACAAGAGGATGTCTCCCAGCGGGTAGGTCAACTGGCACTGGCCACAGGTCAGGAGGTCGTGGTCGGCGTGGAGGCCGGGCGGCAGGGTGTGGGCCAGACTAGGGTCCAACGGGTGGGGCAGGCCGAGCGGGTGAGCGGGCAGGCGGAGCGGGTGGAGGGAGAGAGAGTCGGAGAGTATTCTGCCATCTGGGAGCTCAACCGCCGCTGTTCAATGAGAGAAACACAAGAGACATTTCAGATCACGCTGTTTAGGGGCATTTTTAAAACTGCTTGAGCAGAAAAGAAGAACGTTTGAATTCCGGAGCTTTTTCTCTTCATTTGTCCTGAAATACTTTACTTCCCAAAGATAAATGTGATGCCCCCCGAGATGCCGTCCGCACAGAAGCGTCGAAGGCTGCAGTTTGATTGAAATCATTCATCCGGTCGTCCGTTTTCAATGATAATCAACGCGTTATAGCTTTTATCTAAAGTGCGAGGCAGCGTGTTCTTTCCTGAGGGACAAAAAGTAGAAGAATTCCACACTAAGTTAAGAGAGATGATCCATTATCTGAACCGGAGGCTGCCAACCATCTGAAATACGTCTGCTGACCACGTCTGAGGGTCCTGACCAGATGTTTGGGATCCACTAGTGAGTTCTTGTTGGTTCTGTTTGCCCAATGTTGTGTACATTGGGTATTACATACATTTGAGGAGCTCTGTTCTTTAGGAACTTGTGCTAATATCGGAGTAAATGATGACAAGTGTTTAGCAAACTGCTGATGAAAGTGCAGCAGGACAGCAGACAGACAGACAGACACTCAGCATCACGTTTTTTGGGCGGGTGTGTTGTTGTGTGTTGTTGTTGTGTTGTTGTGTGTCGTTGAACACTCGGGGCTCCTGGCGTTGTGAGAGTGGGCCGATCGCCATGGAGCTGCTGCCCAAGCCGAGCACTAAGAGGACAGCGAGCTAAAAGGAGGACAGACTGTAGAGGAAAGATGAACAACGTATTGATATCAAAGCAACTCATTGCTACTAAAACCATGTTTTCTAAGCTACTATCCACCAAGTGTTGTTGGTTCATCACAAGTTTGGTTACACACACATATTTAGTTTTAAAGAAAGAAGATAGGAAGGTAGAGAAAATACACATATTATAATAATATAAACACATGAATGTGTCTCCTCTATTTCCCCTATTTATATATAGATAAATGAAATAATTATTACTGGTACAGACTAAATATATAGTTATTAGTTAGTTATAAATTATAGTAATTTTTGTTACGGCTCGCACTGAACATTATATATACATATAGACATATATATATATATATATATATTTATATATATATATATATATATATATATTAACCAAACTACACGTCAATTACTAAACTACACGTAAATGTATATATAAAAAAGTGAGAGAGCTGCAACGTTTATGGTGGTTACACACACACACACACACACACACACACACAAAGAAAAGCACATGGGTTTCGGGAGTGTGATTAGAATACTGTATAGATGTCAGAATATAACAATTGTAACGTCATGTTAATGTTGCTTTAATACCATCTGCAATATTAGTATGAAACAATTCAAAAATTTGGTTGATTTAACAAGAGAAGAGGAGCTTTCCATTCTAAATATATTTATTCTTTTTGGCTGTTTTTTGGAATAGCAACAGGAAGCATGTGTGTGTGTGTGTGTGTGTGTGAGCAGGTGTACAGGCCCGAGATCTGTCAGCCCACATCCACACACACCGACCTCACCGCTCCGTCTGCATGCGCTGCAGGTTTGTACCAGATGCATCGCGTGTGTCACGTTTCTATGGTGTTCACACACAAACACACACTGTGTGTTTCTCTCATGAACGAGGATAAAGGCAGTGAGCAAACACTCTGACCCCTGATGACCCCTGATGACCCCTGATGACCCCTGACCCCTGATGACTTGATGGCAGATTCAGCGGTGCGACGATAGCATGAGAGAGAGAGACGGCTTCCTGTGTGCGATCATTATATTGTGTATTTATGTGTGTTTCTTTAAACCTCACATGTATTCTGATACTTCAACGTTCATCAATACACTGTAAAATGAATATCAATCACACTGGATCACTGGGTATCATTATGTGTAGTGTGCACAGTATGTGTGTTTACGCTCTGTCTGCTGTGTCTATTTGTTTATTTACTGGATCCCCACTGCAGGCGTGTGGTGTGTATTGCGTGTGTAGTGCGTGGTGTGTACGGTGTGTGTATGTGCATGTAGTGTGTGTGCACCTGGCGAGTCAGGAGCGCGCTGACAGTGTTCACTTAACCGACGCTTGAGGACAACAGAAGAACCAAAGGAAGCCTGACGTCTAGAAATGAAGCGCTCCCAAATAACGCGAGCCTCCGTCGCCACGTGACCCCGGTGGAGCGGCTGGAGTAACGAAGCTTGCTCTGGTTGTCAACGAGAGGTTTTCTCTGAGCAGAGGCACCGGCCCACACACACACACACACACACACACACACACACACACACTGCAGGGTCCGTTTGATCAGAAGGGCAACACCGCTACATTAGCATGTGATTTACAGCGTCCCAATGCCTCAAACAAAAGCAGGCCCTTGAGTGGCAGTAATACTGCACGCCCGACCACAGAGGAAGTACCTGATTCACACTCACATTTGAACATGGAAGCTGATCTCCAGTCATTTCACCCAGCGGTGCTTTTGGAGCATTATTGATTTCTATCGTTCGTCTATCTTGTTAAATAGAGCAATTAGTCGGTTGGAAGCGGCGTTCCCTTTAGCTGGATACGATTTCCCTGCCTGGGGGCTCGTGTCGGCATTCTGACGTCTGCGTTTGATGTCGCGCGTTGTCTTCTCGCTTTAACCGGGTTTCCTGTCACCTCTCCGAGGCCGACGACCAACGCTAAGGAAATATCACCACTACTTCTACTGCCGGCGCGTGCGTCGTATTAGAACAGAACACTTTGCTGCCCTGCTCGTTTAAACACACGGTCAGGATCATACAGAAACAGCAGGCATGTTTGTGTGACTCGCAGCCTGTTTTCACATGTGACCTGATTTCAGGAGGAAATGTGTTCACTGCTGTACCGAGCGACGCGGATTCTCAGCCTTTGGTTGGATTAAACAGGTAGTGGGACTCATGTTTATCCATGCAGAGGTTTCACAGTGGAAAGGGGGCACAAGGCCACCCGCCCTAGAGGTTCTGTGTCAGGAATGAAGCGTTCCTCTATAAAACAGCGCAAAGCAAACAGAAGAAGAAATAACTTTCAGATTAGTATAAATCACTAACTTATGTGGCGTCACGTTCCTATGGTATAACATGTGTAATAAAGCGTTTACAGTCACAGCAGGTTGATCACGAGCAGTTTACTGAATGTAAAGAGTTGATATTTTAAGCAAAGGAATAAGATGTAAAGCTGAATACACACACAAAGGCTGAGGTCCATTTCAATGTAATCATTTGCCATAGCGAGAATGACACACACACACACACACACACACACACACACACTCACATGCTGGAGATCAGACACCTTTTATACATTTACACTACATGGTGTCAATAAAAAGACAGTAAAGTACAGAGTGTGCAGGTGTTGACAGTTAAGAGGTGAATGTGGTCTTTCACCGCTGAAGTCATCTGGTTTACACGCGCACACACACACACACACACACACACACACACACACACACACGGCATCACTCAGCTCCTCCTCTCATTGAGCCAGCGCTCCTCTGACAGCCTGAGAGCTCCCCCTAGCAGGAAGAGAGAGAGAGACATAGACACAGTGTGTGTGTGTGCGTGTGTGTGTGCGTGTGTGTGTGTGTGTGTGTGTGTGTGGGGAGGGGGGGAGGGAGGGGCGTTGAAGGGGGAACGACAGACAGACAGCTCACCAACAAACCAATACTGTGGAATGCAGGTTATGCAGGTTGTGCGTGCGTGTGTGTGTGTGTGTGTGTGCGTGTGTGTGTCTGTGTGTGTGTGCAGCGTGCTGATGAACAGGATGCGTTACGGCATGCTCTTTGGGAACTGGCCGCCCTCGTTTTCAGACACACTCGCTCGACAAAGTCACAGTCATTTAAAACATTAGATTAAAAACACGTGTTGTCATTTTAATACAGCGGTGATTAAACCAACGCAATTGTGATTGTAAGTTGTGCTGCTGTTCTGTACAATAAACGTGTTTTTTGGGGGGACTATCGCTCTGATTGTCTCAACGAGTCGATCTGTTTCCTTCACTTCAGTGAACCGACGGTTAAACTCACAAGAGAAACGCACCGGCTTCCATCCGCCGCAGACGCTTAATAAGTCACAACGTGTGGAGAAGCTGCAGGTCGTCTCCGTGTGTCAGAGACCCGGCAGGGTGCCGGCCACCTGACGAGCCCCCCCCCCCCCTCTCCACGTGTGCGTTTGCGTGTGTGTGTGTTTGCGGCTACAATGGGAGCTCTCGTCCTGTTTGCGTTCTTCGCACCGCATCTGCCTCTCGGAGGAGATCCGGGGTTATTTGCAGCAAATGAGAAGCAGACGGCGCGTCTGCACCTTCGGGTGCAAACTGTGACGGCGCGCGGCGATGCCAGGAGACCCCACCGGGGCTACCCAAATGCCAAGATGTGCCCACCGCTCCTTTTCTACGCCCAAAGATGAAGGTGGAGAACAGAATCGGTGTAAACTTGGAGGCAAGTGTGCAGAAACAACGGAGCTTCGGCCTCCCGTTTGTAGTTTATTGCTTGGTGCCATAAAGTCGGCGTACGGCCGAGAAATTCGTCCCCCCCGTTTCAAACAAATGTGATCACTACCAAAAGACAGACGAGGTGGAGGCTCTCGCGTGCTTCTCCGTCCGCCAACCCTCAATAAATACACAATGTAATATTTGGGGCCGTGATGCAGCGTGTCGTGGAATCCGAGTGAGAACTGTGATTAAAACACACGCCCGTCAGATTTTATGACCTGACACCTTGAGAAGAATTATGGCGATTTCTGTGAGGCGATTTGCATTCACGTGCGTGGGTTTGCCGTCCGCGCGCCCCCCCCCCTCCATCATATACAAGTGCGTGCATGTGTGTGCGCGTGCATCGGCGACCATCTCTTAAACATAAAATAATGCGAGGTATAGAACTGCGCTGCAGCCACAATTGTCATAAATCAGACAGGCAAACCTGCGGTGTGGACACAACAACTGCATTTCACACTTCACACACACACGCACATGCACAGTCGTGAGCACCCACACACACACACACTCTATACAACACAGGACAAACAGGAAGCCGATTCAGCCTCCAGCTCTGCGTCCAATCATCTGCTCTGAGAGCTCTTTGCACAACGGGCCCTTTCTAAAGGTAACAGGTGCACACGAGTTGTGGTTGTGTGGAGCCACTCGGGACGATTGGACATGTCGCCATGCAGTGTCTGGAGGTTGTGAGCTCTGTGGATCAGGCCACCGACGTGCACGCCGACGTGCACGCCGATACCAGAGGGGAAGGTGATCTGATCCGACACACGTCCGTCCGAAGAAGCCGGAGCCTGAAGAGAGTAGTAACGTTAAAGTGATGAAGTCCTGATTTAGTCTCCTCTCTGCACGTCTTGTGGATCAACGAGACTTTGTCCCACTAAGTGTCCCTTCCCGCTGTTGGCTTGAACTTGAACTGCTTTTAGCAATTACAGTCCTGCTGCTCTTTGTCAGAACACCTACCTGAGGCCAGAAAAAACTATTTCACCGCTGAGAAGTTTAACTGCAAAAATATCAGCGTGCGCGCCAGATGAGGAAGATGATGATGATGATGAGCGCTTCCGCTTTCAATCAAGGCGTAATTTAGATCTGTCATATAATATAAAGTTGACTTCCCTGTTTCTAAAATATAAAGTGTCTTTGGAGGAGCCTCTCCTCATAAAAGCACCTGTAATGTTGTGTTGTTGCTGCGCACATAATACGCGCGTGATTATTTGCTGTGGACACGTCGGCTGTCAGCGCGCGCAGCGTATTAAAGAATCCACGCGCACGGAGCATTGATAGCGCAAGAGAAAAGCATCGAACCGGACCAACTGCGTCCAGAGGCCGCGCGAGACACCGACGCGTCCATCAGAGACCCGCGGCCCAGCGCGTGCGCCCCGCAAAGGGTTCCAACTGTAAGATCATTAAACAAGACATTTATCGGCCGCTTAAATGAACGCGAAACATAAAACAATTAGAAAGAATGAAACACTTTAAACCATAAGTGATGTATTAGTGTGTGTGTGTGTGTGTGTGTGTGTGTGTGTGTGTGTGTGTGTGTGTGTGTGTGTGTGTGCGCGCGCGTGGAATTATAGAAACGGAGCTGGTGTTTAATAGATCTGCTCATGAAAGTGCTTAAACTAAGTGTTTTAGTATCCCGTATTCCGGATATAAATTAAGGAGTAGGAATTATATTTTTAGAGTAATTTTCTGCTCGTGGACGGAGCCGTTTATAATTCGGTTTAAAGTAAAAGCGGAATAATACAAAAGTCATCTCTCGTTTAACCAACTCGCTTTTCTCCTTCAGCAACCCGACACGTTTTTCCCTTTACGCTTTATAATAATAATAATAATAATAATAAGAGGCAATTTACACATTGTAATAATCGGAAAGTATTAATAGTAAATTATGGCCTTTATCTAATTTCGCCAGTGAGGAATAAAAGAGGAGAGAAACTTTCTGCTCCCAAAATGTAAGAAAAAACAAATCCAACTCTCAACTTCTCGGGGTTCCAGCAGAGAGGACAGTGTGCTGTTGCTGTGTGGACGGGTGGGGGGACACTTACGTGTTGTCTCTCTCTGGGACAGGTGCTGCGGGTTCCCCTGCTTGCGTCGGGACATCGCCCTGGCATTTACACTGGCATCGCCCGGAAAGCGGCGCTGGAAGGGTCGACTCTCCTCCTGCGGCTCCTTCGTACCGGCCGCAAACCGGCCCCCAAAAGCACGCCGAGCGGCCCACTCGGCGCTGGCCCCGCGCGTGGCCCCTCGAATGGTCCCTCCAGCGAGCCGCGGCTCCTGCGCTCTGCGGTGAGCGGCCGTGGCGCGGCGCGGCGCGGGGCGGTCGGTCGGTCGGAGTTCAGCGGCAAAGTGGCGGCGCGCCTCCCGTCTGGCAGCGAGGCGGCGGGCGGACCGGCTCCCTTCCGCCGCGCTCACACCATCTTTCAGAAGAAGAAAAAAAGAGAAAAGACAACGGAGACGCGCGAGGTCGGCGGTCACCTTCCTGGCGGACAGTCACTGCCCGTGTCCACTCTGCGGCCACGCTGGACACGCTGCGTCCCTGTCCACAGAACGCGGGCGAAATGACGCCAAGTCACGTCTCAAAGTGTCTCAAATAGGGATCCACTGTCCTTCTCGGTACTTCTCTGGGTGGCACCAAGTGTTGGGCACTTCTGCTGCGGCACTGACAGCGCCGGCGACGCGCGTTGCACTTGAACTCTTAAGTCAAAGCCCAAGCGCCGGTTTGAGGACAGACCGCCGCGCTCTTTTCTCTTTGTGCAGGCTGCAGTGCGCCGCTTCCTCGGGCTGTGCGCGGCTGTGTGCGGCTGCGTGCGTCGGCGTGCGGCTCTGTGCGGCTCTCTGGCTTCCACAATGGGAGAAAACTCAAGTTCAAGTGCGGACGTGACGTTCAGTCTGCGGTGAGAAGGGAGAGTGGAGACTGAAGAGCACTGGGGGCGACTAGTGGTGGCTTTCACACACACTGACACACGCCGACACGCACACACACACACACACACACACACACACACACGCTGCTCTCCAACTCCCGCATACACCCGAGCGGGCGGCGCGCACGGCAGCAGCGGTCCGAGCCGCTGCAGGCCGCTCCGCGCCTCCGTGCGCCGTCGGGGACTCGTTTGGATCAGTGCGACCTGGGGCGCGTCCTCGTCTCCGGGGTTGCTGGACAAACGCGTGCGGGCCGGTAGCGCGCGAGGACCGGCCGATCCGCGCACACCTTTGGCGGGATAGCGCGCATTAAATGAGCTGCTTATTAAATGTTGTAAACTACATTTTAATTAACGCTTGACCCTTTGAACCGCTTTGTTCCGTTTGCGCTCACGCGCCTTTAACACAATAAAGGCCCGTCATGAAATGAAATCCTTAATAACTAATAATTGATTCCTTTTCTTAATGAAATTCACAAAGCATAAATAATCATACATTTTTTTTATTTTGGTTGCGCGGCTCATCAGATCCGCTTTTTTCCACTTTTTATTTTTACAAGTTTTACTATCAGCTCGTTGTATTGTCGTATTGTCTCTGGTGCGTCGGGTCGGCCTGAATCCGCGAACAAATGGAAGGATCACATTCCATCAATATTTATTCATATTTATCCCAAACATATGGCAACAAGGAGCTTTCTGTTTATCCAGACTTATTCAATTAGAAAGTGGTATCAAAAAAAGAAACATCCTTGTGTTTCCCAATCAGGCAGCTTTGTGACCTCACGCTGACCTCCGGAGAGGAAGAGGTGAGTGAGGAGGAGGAGGAGCACTGATTTATGCAACTCATCGAGAAGCTTCAAAATAAAATGCCACAGATTTTATAATTGTAAAATTACAGAGAACAAGAGGGAAACTGCAGCTACACATCATAAGCAACATCACATCACATCTAAGTGCTGAAGCTATAGTGTGTGTGTGTGTGTGTGTGTGTGTGTGTGTGTGTGTGTGTGTGTGTGTGTGTGTGTGTGTGTGTGTGTGTGTGTGCGTGCAGATGATGGATAACAGGTTTGCTGGTAGAAGCAGCGTCTCCACTTGCTCGTTCCCTCCCCAGCTGCACCTACTGTTTAAAGGGCGGCTGACATGATGTTCATCCTCACACGTCCCTTCGGGGGGGGGGGGGGGGGGCAAGGAGAGCCGCAAGCAGCCGTGCAATTTGGGGTTCGCAGTGTGCGTGTGTGTGCGTGTGCGTGTGTGCGCGTGCAGACACACAGCAGGTGAGAGTCCAAGTTGCTGAACAGGAGCGTCTCTGGGATGACCCCCCCCCCCCCCCGCTCAGATTTACACCAGAAGGACGTCAGCGTTGTTTTAAAGCAGCGGTGTGAACTAGCGCCGCACGGCAGCTGGATCCGCTTCTTCATCTGCATGTCTGCGTCTCAACGCCGTCGCTCGGTGTCGCTCCTCAGCCCCGCGGCTTACAGAATGAACCGTGTGTGTGTGTGTGTGGGGGGGGGGGGGGGGGGGGGCTCAGGCCTCAGGGTTTTTCTCTCTTTTATTCCTCTCCACCTCGCATCCAGGCGAGCCTCTGGTTTGTTCCTGGGCCAGGTGCTGTCAGAGCTGCAGATCATCCGCAGAGAGCGCGCTCGCCATCCCTCATTCACGGGCGGCTTTGTGTTTGGACTTTTGTCGCCTCGAATGCAGCCCGGCGCGTATCTCTCCTTCCGTCTTTTCTTTCGACACACACACACACACACACACACACACACACACACGCGCGCGCGTCTCTTCACGGGGGCTCATCTTGGCTGCCTGCGCCGTCTCCCAATGAGCCAGAAGCCTCTCCTCATTCCAGCCGCGCGCTGCGGGAGGACGTAAATAGATCTCACGTGCTCATTTCCAAGTAAAAGGAGAAGATCGGCAGCTCCGTCCAAGTGTCTTTGTCGCGCGCATAACAGAACACCCACTTCCATTTGAGCGCGATCCGCGCGGCGCTTTGTCGCGATCACAGCCAACGCGCCGCATTACGCGAATTGTAAAGCGTTGTCATTTTTAAGGCAGCGCTCAGTGTTTGTTCGTACTTGAAGAAGATGTGGGATTAAAGCTGCTGTGAGAGGCTCGCTGGACGGACGAAGGGGAGCTGTCTTCATTGTTCACACACACACACACACACACACGCACACACACATCTGGAATCCCTCATGTTCAGGTCTCCGTTTGGCATCGCCGACGTTACAACTTGTAAATCATTTCTTATTGCAGCTTTAATGTTTTTAAGATGTTTCCCCTTTTTTTGTATTTATTTTTTTTAACCATTTCCGCTCCCCGTCGTGGGGTGGAGTGACACTCTGGGCCAACTTCACCGCCCGGATGTGCTCCTCGTCCTTGCAACCTGATTGGCTCATCAGTCAGACGGGCGACAGGTGCATCATTCCCGCTTCCTTATTGGACACCTTCGCGGGCCATTTCTCACTTTAAGGCCATCAGCGTGAGTTATGGCCGATAGCTGCCGGCATCCTGCTTTTCGCCCTTCCTTCATTTGCATATATATATGCGGCTGTTTGTTTTTATGTTAATGCTAAATAAGCCTTTTTCCTCCCGCCCATCTTCGCATCGCCTCGGCTGAGCGCTTAGGTTTTAATTAGAGGGACGTGGAGGTGTCCTTTAGAGTTTTTTAAGATCACTTTCCCAACAACTGTTCACCGCTAAACTGCTAAAATGAATGTTTATGTGTTCAGAGGCCTTCTGGGAGACAAAGCGCGAGCGAATCTCCACATTGTGTTGTTTTAACAGAAGCCGCATTGAGTTTATTTTAAGCGCTGGCCAGTAAGAAACAGGTATTCAGGGGAGAGAAACCAGTGCCTTTCATCAAGAAAACAGCAGATTCCATAAACTGATGAACCACGTGAGATGATGTTGATATCGCCCGGAAATTGGATAAATTGAATTAAAAAGAAGGGAAATGAAATGAGGTTAGAAGGTTAATTTGTTGACCTTGGAAATAGCATCTCAGGATCCGTTGGGTTTGTTTCTGTGCATTTTGTCTTCTAAAGGTCCAGTCTTGAGCTTGACCACAGGGTTTTGAAGCAGAGGAAGACGCGTGGTCTTCACAGCGTTATGGTGACAGTGTTCTGTCTAAATAAAGGGGTACATTCCCCCCCGTCGCTTTAAACACAATGTACTTCAACTTTCCACCCCTTAGTAAGTGTTGTTTAAAGATGCATCCAAATCAAAGAAAGCTTCACCTGGTCCTTTTTTTTAATCGCTGAGATAAAAAGGACACGTCCTCTTTAACAGCAACCATCAAGTCTTAATGTCAGCATGATCCATTAAAAGGGTCATTTTCTCTTTCCATCCAGTCATCAGTAATAAAAAGCCGATTAGAGAGGCAGGTGTTGACGTGACGCTCCCACCCGGGCGTCACGTCCTCAGACCCGCAATACAACACTCCCCTCTGTCGGCGAGCCGCTGCCACGTGCAGATACGGCCTCTGAGCTGCAGCAGGAGAGTGTGTGTGTGTGTGTGTGTGTGTGGTATCATTATGCTGTCTGCAGTGGTCCGGTAACGTGGTGTTGAGCCGGGCTCATTATCACCGGTTCTAAATGACGTGTTAAGTGGATGAAACGCTGTGATCGTCTCTGCACGGGCTGGAGAGCCAATGTTTGAGGGCTCGCGGAGAAAACGCAGAAGCCCTTAAGCACAATTATGGATATCAAAGTTGAAAGGATTCCTTTTAAAAAGGGGAAATGCTAATCAGAGGTTTATTTAGAGCAAGTTAGCAGTAGCACGGAGCTCTCATTACCAACGCACACTCTCACTTCAAGACCTTGTACTCGCACATTCTCTCTTTCCTTCCGGCTCCCTTTTCAAAGAGTCATTTCAAAATAATTAATTCCACTGCAATTAGAGCAGCAGGTAATGTATATTTTGGTCATTATTCAGGATATCACATAATGAGGAAGACAGTGTGTGTGTTCTCGTCCTTGTTGTCTTTGCAGCCCGGCTCCTCGACACCTTCATGTTAGTTTTTATGTAGAAACTCACGAGCTTCTACGGCTTGAAAAGTGTCCAAATCAGTTTGTCTTCATGCCAGATATTCGCTCTGTGGCGTCATGGAAATATGTGAAATTATCGGTATGATTTAACACAGTACACAAATTAAAACCCGGGTGAAGGTCCTAGTTGGACCCTCTCAGGCTGTATCTCCGGATGGAGTCACAGACTATCACTACACTTAAACTGTCAAGACTTTTTATTCTCATTTTCTAATCCACTAAATAAATTCAGTGGAAATTTGATGCAAAACCAACAGAACATTACGTTTAGGAAGATAAAACCGAAGGAAGAGTAAATGAATGAGCCGTTATTGGGGAAACGTTTTGGGATTATGAAGCATGATTCTGCAGCCAGTTGAGTGTAAAACACGAACACAATAATAAGGCCACTGTAGAAGATAAAGACCGAATGTACGTCGGTGTATTTTTAAACAGCAGAGACGTAAAGACGCACGAGGAGCCCTGTGGCTGACTGGGACGTGGAGGACGTTGTCCGCCGGGACCAGTTGGTGGACCTGGACACGTCCACCACACCAAACGCAGTCGATGTGTCAAAGAAAGACGGCAGCGCAGGGAGAGCGAATCAGGTCGGCCTGGCAGCCGGACGGCGGGCCGACGAGTCCCTGGAGGCACCGCAGAGAGCCAGCAAACAAACGGGAACACACACACACACACACACACACACACACACAAACATGCAAACAAACATGCAAACGTTGGCATCTCAGAGATGCCAAGCTCTGCATTCCCCACAATTAGCGCCTTCCTCAGACATCCTAAACCCGGAGGGGGAGGAGCCAAGTCCCCGCTTTGTTTAAAGTGAGCTCTCGGGTCCTTTTGGGGTTCCGTTACCGACATGACGTCTCCGCCCACACACTCTCCTTTTGAGGGAAAGAAAAACATCCCACCAACAGGTCTTTGGAGGTGGAGGCCCAGTGAGGTGGGTTGATGAGAGACGTCAGCGGGATTTGACCTGGAGGTCAAAGTTCGAACGGGCGCAAACTCACTCATGTGTGGACTTACTCGGCGTGTTGAGTCAGCAGATCACGTAACATGTGCACAATCCTACAAAGTCTTCAGATCTCCAACAGATTTATGAGGAATGTTTGAACTCT